AAAATACTAATTCTAATATGTAGTGAATATCGTAAGAAATGTAAATAAATTTACACTGCAAAAAGAAGTATCTTAAAATACACTTTAGCCACTTTTAAGATATTAAAAACATCTACATCATTCCATTCTAAAGATCAATTAATCAGGGTTGCCACGCAACCTGCAAACCTGGAAAACCTGGAAATGTCAGGGAATTTTATAAACCTTGAAAAAACCTGGAAAAGTCAGGGAATTTTTATCGAATTCCTGGAAAATTGTTATTTTCTAAAGTTTATTCTTGAAATCTAATTTTACATAAATATTTGAAAATTAATTAAATTTTAAAAATGTTGCGTTTACATGTTTACAATTTTCATAAGTATACACATGAATTTCAAAAGATTTAAATTTGAAATTTTGTAAAATTTCAATTTTCAATGAATTTAATTAGAAATCGTCTTAAAGATCGTAGATTTTTGAGAAATTTTAATTATTCCAATTCTTCTGAAATTAGTTCAATTTTTTAATATATTTTTTTAATTGATTATTAAAAATAATGAATTTATAGAAGAATTTTAATTAAAAACACTAATATCTAAAAAAAAAATTGAATTTTGAAGCAATTACAAATGATTGCAGAAATTCAATTATTTCCAACAGTTTTACATAATAAAATTCATGGCAAAATTTCAATTATTTTTAAAAACTTTTATCAATTCAATGATTTTTAATAAAAAATTAAATTATTCTTCAAAATTATATTAAAATTCATCAAAGAAATTTAATTATTTTAAAAACATTTGCTACAATTTATTTATTAGAATTTAAGTATTATTTTCTATAAAGTTTTAATTAAATTTCTTGAAAAAATTAAATTTTTTTCAAAAATTTTAATGAAATTCTTTGTATCCAATTTAAATTTTTTTTCAAAATAATTTTAATAAAATTCTTCGCAGAAAATTTTAATAATTTCAAAAATTTGTCAAAATTAAATTATTTTCAATATCTACTATTTCTATAAAATTTCATAAAAGAATTCAATTATATTTAAAAAGACATTTCAATAAAATTCGTCTCAAGAATCCAATTATTTTCAAAACTAATATAATTCTTCGCAGAAATTTAATTGTGTTCAACAATTTACAAAAATTCTCGTCATTGCAATAATCTTTATGTAAATTTTTCTGCGGAATTCAATTATTTTCAAAAATTTTAATAAAATATTTGGCAAAATTTCAATTATTTTCAAAAACTCTTATAAAGTTCTTTCGAGAAATGAAAAATGAAAAATGAACTTATTCTTCAAAATTTTATTAAAATTTGTTTTAAGAGAATTCAATTATTTAAAAATTTGTTGATAAAATTCTTTATGAAAATTCAATTTCAAGAAACATTCAATTATTTAATAAAATATTTATTTTTGTATTACTTCCTCATAGAGGAAGTATTGTAATACCAAAATTTTTCGAGTTCGATTTTTTGACATATATTTATGTTGTTTGACCTCAGGAGTTCAAAAATGACATTTTTAAAAAATGTCATTCCGTATGTGTGTGTGTGTGTGTGTGTGTAAACATCACATTTTCATAAATATCTCGAAATCATGAAGAGCTTTTGGGTTGAATTTTTTTTAAATTGTAGATCTCACCTGCGGACATAAAGTGAGAGTACTTTGTGATAGATTAATAAAGTTTAACTAAATTTTTTTTGGAGTTTTAATTTTCCAAAAAAACGTTTTTTGCCCATAACTTTAAAAAAATGTTAAAACAATTATAAATGTTTTTCTATAATTTTGTAGAGTTTCTTTAGACGCATCTTTTGAGCTTTAATTATACATTTTTCGTCCATATTAACAGGAGATATTAAACTTTTAAAAATCAAAAATTTTGGAAAATAAGAATTTTTTGAAAATTTTGTTGAAAAAAGTAGAAGTAATTTTAAAATTATCGTTATTAACTTGTAGAGCATTAAAAAACGCTTCGATTGACCTACTTTTGAACCTAATTCGATAATAAATTTCGAAATTATTGGTATTTTAAAAATCAAAAATTGTGGAAAAAGATATCTTCTCAACCTTTTTGTTTAAAAATTTTTGTTTAACTATTAAAACTATATTGTAGAGTATTTAAAAATACATTGATTGACTCAAAATTTAATCACTTTTACCATATTTATAAAAAATTATTCATATATTTTCCTATTATTATTATTATCTCTATGTGGAAGTAAAGTGTTCATGAAATGAGCACCAAAATTATAAAAAAAATATATACAACTTGGCAGCGGTTTTAAATAATTTAATTCTCATGGATTTTTTTTAACATTGATTTAAAAATGAATTTCAGTTAAAATTTTAGATTATTATTGAATATTGAAAGCAATATAGCGTAAATTTTTACAGGGTGTCTACTAACCGGGAATTCCGGGAAAACCGGGAAATAACCGGGAATTTTATTTGACCGGGAAAAACCGGGAATTAGCCGGGAATTTTATACCGAACCGGGAATTTTTTCACAAAAATTAAAAAAGTTTTATTATTTTAATTTGTTTTTAAAAAATCAATTTTTATTTCAATTTTTATAGATATTTATACTGTTCTCTAAATTTAAGTTAGTTAAAAATAATTAATTTGATGATAAAAAATCAGTTACCAATTCAAATATATTATGTAAATAAATTTAAAAAAAATTATGGAGTTAATAGAAATATTGTGAAATTCGACTGAAAATATGTAATTAAATTTGTTAAAGAAATTCATTAGAAACTTTTTAACAAATAGAATTTTCAAAGTATTTGAATTTAATAATTGATTAATAATTGAATATTATAAAGAGTAAAATTCTAATGTATTCATGTTTCTTACTGCGAAGATTAATAATTAAAATTTTTATTAGTTAATTTAAAAAAATATACATACTTAAAATTGTTTAATAAAATTGAACTTTCGCAAAATTTTTTTTAAATCTAAAAAATAAAATTGTTGTAATTTTTCAATTCTATTGTTTCAAGATAATTGAATTTTTCTAAACAAATCATTGAAATTTTTTTACTTTTTTTGAAAAATAATTGAATTCTTTTAAAGAATTTTATTTAAATTTTTCGAAAATAATCAAGGGAAGTTAGTGACCATAATTAAAATTTTATTTTTAAAATTTAAAGTCCCTCTTACAGTTTTAAATCAATTTTTTGCTTCTAAAAATTATACTATTCTATTATTATTTAATAATTATAATTATTAAACTTCTCTTAAATTTTTATCATTTCAAATTTCTGAATGTTCAAATAAATGATATTTATTTATTTCTTGAGCAAACTAAATGTTTATTACATATTAAGTAAAAAATTAATTATTGCTGCTTATTATTTTCAAAAATTTTAATAAAATTCTTCACAAGAATTAAATTACTTTCATAAATAATAGCATTCTTTGGAAGGATTCAATTATATTTATAAATAGTAAAATTCTTTGCAGAAGTTCAATTATTATCAATGTAATTTTAATAAAATTGAAAAATCCAATTTTTAATTATAATTATAAAGAGACAAGATTATTTTTAAAAACTTGAAAAAATTCTTTGTTTAATTCAAGTATTTTCCAAGTTTTTAATTAAAATGATTGAAAAAAACATTATTTTCAAAAAATTTAATGATTTATTTATGTTTGAAATCAAATTTAAATTTAAATTTGATAAGAAAAAAAAACCGGGAAAAAATTAGGATATAGCCGGGAAAAACCGGGAAATAACCGGGAATTTTGTTAAACGAAAATAGTAGACACCCTGTTTTAGAAATAATTGAATTTTGAAAAAGTTTCAAATTAAAATCTTTGAAAACTTGAAATTTTCGTACTTTTTATTTATAACAATTCTGTAGAATTAATTTTTTTAAAAAAGTTTTATTGAATTTTTCTTTAATTCTTCAAGTTTTTATTTTCTAATATATATTTAATTGAAAAATGTCAGAATAATCGAAATTACGTAACAATTAATATTGAAAATAATTGAATATTTACGAGAAGAATTTTATCATTTTTGAAAATAATTAAATTCTTGTGGAGAATTTTATAAATTTTGAAAATAATTGAATTATTTCGAAGAATTTTATTTAAATTTTTGAGAATAATTGAATTCCTGTGAATAATAAAATTTTATTATCTATAAAAATAATTAAATTTTTGACAAGATTTCTAAGGAAATTTAGAATTAATTTTTCTCAAAAAGTTTAATGGAATTTTTTTTAATTATTTGAAGTTTTTAATTTCTATAATTTATTTAATTGAAGAATGTCAAAATAATCGAAATTTTAGGTAAAATTGAATTGTAAACAAATGAATTTAAAAATTCTCAAAGAAGAACTTTTTCAAAAATTATTTAAAAAATTGATTTAAAGAAGAATTTTAGTTTAAAATTCTAGAAATGAAGAATTGAATTGAAATGAAAATAATTTTGAAGAAATTACAGTAACAATATTTTTATAATATAAAATAATGATTGTATTAAGTTTTAATTATAACTCCGAGTCTTCGACTCGGAGTAATCACTTTCTTCATGTTTTATAATAATATTCTTTTATGTTATTGAATTTAAAATTTTTGAAAATCTAAATTTTTATAAAAAAATAATATTTAAAAACGAAGTTATTGATGTTTTCGAGTAATTTTACAATTAAAGAAATTCGTAAATAAATGTAATAGAACAGGAAAAAAGTCGTTTTGTCTGGAAATCAGGGAGTTTGGTAAAATTAAAAATAAAATTAAAATTATACTAAAATTAAAAATAAAATTTGGTAAAATATAAATGTGGTTTTAAAAACCTGGAAAAGTCAGGGAATTTGAAATGAGGAAAAGCGTGGCAACCCTGATTGTCAATGCACTTTAAGATGCTTTTGATAACTTTTTTGAAACAACTTGAAAGTGACTACCACAGTATCTTAAAATGAGATGCTTTCTTTTTGCATTGTTAAAAAGTGGCTTGGGTTTTAAAAATAGTTGTTCCATAGAGTTAGATAACTGCTTTACATACCTGATTTCCTTTGACTTTGATAAGTTCCTTTGTGCGATCGACAACAAAAAAGTACTCGTCTTCGTCGTAGTAGACAACGTCGCCCGTGTGCAGCCAGCCATCAGCGTCCATGATATCTTTGGTGGCCGCAGGATCGTTGAGGTAGCCCTTCATGACTTGAGGTCCCCTCACGAGCAGTTCGCCCGGCGTTTCGGGGGTGACTATGTCCTTCCTAGAGAGCAGATCTACTAGCCGAGCCTCCGTCGACGGAAGCAACTGGCCGCAACTTCCAGTCTTCGAATACGGCATTGCCTTTGGCGTGTAAATTGTCGCCGGACTCGTTTCAGTCATTCCGTAACCTGCAAGTTCACCAATTGGACACAACGTCTTTTAATTTTGCAAAATCATCAAAAATACTCAAGATTTCCTCTCTTTCCTTTCACTCTATCTACCTTGAGACAGCAAACAATTGTCCCGGCCGATTTTCTCCTTGAATTTGTCGAGGAGACTTTTGGTAGCAGGAGCAGCACCGCAAATCACTTTCGTTATGGACGACAAGTGATCCCTCGTCACTTCCGGATGAGTGATTAAAAACAATAGTAACGATGGCACAACAAAAATGGAGTCTGGACGATATTTTTCTAAACATTTGATGTAGTCTTCGACGGTGAATCTTGGCAGAGTGATGATTTGGCCACCGAGGTAAACCAAGAAATTGAGGATTCCATTGAACCCGTAAATGTGGAAGAATGGCAGAACTGACAAAGTGGTTTCCTGTGTGGTCTCAGTCGTTGGAATGTTGTTCACACAGGCGGGATTGTCGCATTGCAGGAGATTTGCAATCAAGTTCCTGTGCGTGAGCATTACTCCTTTCGGCAAACCTGTCGTTCCCGAACTGTAGGGCAAAACTGCCACATCATTGTTGTTGATTACAGGCAATTTCGCACTGTACTTTTCTTTGAGAATGCTTTCCAAACCCAGGACCCTGAAAAGAGAGAATCGAATTCAATTAGGTATATTTCAAATAAAGTATTTAATTTATAAGATAATAATTAAATAATTAATGCTTCATCAGATATGATAATTTGACTTTTTCGACTCTTATTAAGGGGGGAAAGGTATATTTTTTAAAAGAATGCACAATATCTCAAGAATATTGTGTCGCAAAACTTCAAGTCAAACGGAGTAAAATTGAGGAAGTTATGAGTATTTGAGTGTCCGTTGCTCCGAGAAGGGTTCGATGCTTGTTCGACAACAATAAGCGGTGCACGACAGTCAAGAAGGAAGCGTTTTGCGTATATACATAGACACATGCAAAATGATGTTCTACATTATCTTGATGAAAGCTCTTTATGGGCCTGTCATCGACGACTGTGTGTGAGTATAAAAGAATAATAGACTTTTATTATGATTTTTTTATTGTTTAAAATAAAAACTTTAAAGCATTTTGCTGAAAGTTTGTTATTTTTGAAGGCCGTGCTCAACATAACTCAAAATTTACTTAACCATTTCGTTTTGAAATTTTGTACAACTTTACTTCTTCACATATTAATTCCCCAAATACCGTGGGTGTCCCAGTTTCCGTCCACTTTTATTTTAACAATAACAATAATATTATAAAAAAATTATTTCCGTAAATCTGTTTAGGTGAATAATTATACTCTAAGATAATAATATTAAATTATTTTCAAAGAAATCTTCTAAAAATGGACGAAAATGTTGTCCAGTGTTAAAATTCACATTAGAAAGTATTTTCTAACAATAATAATTTGCAATTTGCGAAAGAATTAAAAAGCATAATTCAATAACTTAAAACATAATTTATATAATTATTGAGCATAAATGCAGCATAATTTGATAACTCGAGGAACAATTTTGTATTATTTATTTTTATAAATATTTTATTTATAAAAATTTGTCAATTATTCTATTTAACGAAAAAAAATTAAAATTAATTTTCAAAAAAATTGGAACATCAAAATTAATTTTACTGAGTACATTTTTGTAATATTTCAATGTGTTATCTAAAATTAGGGATGTTTTAACAATAAAAATTTTTAATCATTTTTAATTTTTTATAATTTTTTTTTTATAAATTTTTTTATAATTAAATACAAAATAAATACAATTGAGCAAAAAAGTTTCTAATTGTAAATTCATTTTTAAAATTAAATGTGGTTTTTTTATAAATATTAAGTGAAAGAACAAATTTCCCAAACGGGAAATAAAGCATAATAAAAGCATAAAAAGCATTTTTAAAAGCATAATTTTTTTATTAGATATTAGGTTAAGAATATTTATGTACGAAAGGGCATGTCCCGTTTATAATTAAAAATAAATAAATAATTTTAACATAATGGACATTATTTTGTAGTATAATTGAGGCATATTTTACAAATTTCTTAAAAATTAATTATTATATAATTAATTTAAAAAAAAAGTATCAAAATAGAAAAATAGTAAAAAGGAACTGACGAAAAATTAAATTTGACAACTAAAAAACTAGTTTCATTCAATTCACAAAAATTTGATCTTGTATTTCCAATATATTAAAAATTTAATCAAATATATTTAATTTTTACGAAAATTAAACTACTTTGAAAAATTTTAATTAAAATTCTTCAAAATACTAATTTTTTCATTAATGAATCATTTTTATTCAATAAATATATAAATATTTCTTTATTTTTCCACAGAAATTATAATTTTAAATGATTCTAATGTAAAAGCATTTTGAAATTTAACTGTATCTAAAAATTCATACTAGTCAATTACATTCTAAAAAAATTTCAATTGAAATTCAATTTTAAAACTAATTATTATATAATTAGAAATTTCTATAAGAATTTAATGATTTAAATACAAAAATAAGTAATTGATTTTATTTCTTAAAATTAAATACTTAAAAGGAATTTTTTCAAAATTTTTGATAATAATTGAATTCTTTGAAAGAATTTTAATAAATATTATTTGAAAATAATTACATTTTTTGACGAATTCATTTAAAATTGTATTAAAAATAATTGAAATCCTGCGATGAGTTTTATTATTTATAATTAAACTAAGTTTTTTCTTGCAAATTTTGCCTTTTAATACAGAATTTTAATATAAAAGCGACAACTGAGCTTGATTTGATTTCTAAAAGGATTTGAACTACGGAATAAGTGGCTTGTTAATTACTTCTACATATTGGGTATAATTTGATTTGTTCCTTTTACAGCAATCATTAAAATCGCGAAAGATTACTAATCTTATAATCACTATAAAGGAATACATAAAAGAATGTAAAATACTTTGCCATTCCCCATTTTAAGAAAATCATTCATCATGTTAAAAAAATTTATTATAATGGGACTTTCTGATGCAGAATTGGTATAAAAAACACACTTTTTTAAACTCTTATTGTAAGAAATGTATTATAATTATTGTAAAAATTCCTTTTGGATATTGTTATACATATTACAAGAAGATAAATTAAAAAAATTTTTTTTGAGTATTTTTAGTTCATTTTCATCTTTCTATTTTACATAAATTAAAAATTCAAACGGGACTCTCTTCATAAGGGTTTCTTCAACAAACAACAAACTTTAAAAACAATTTTTTATACACATTTTTCTTAAAAAATCGAAAAAAAGGTGTTTTTGGGTCAATTTACCTCCGTAGAAAATAATAGGGGGTAAAAATGTGAAATTTGAGAGATTTGTTGCCTAGTTTTTTAGATAAAGAATCGAATGTCTTCTCACTCATCTACTAAAACCTACTATTTACTACTTTTTTCACGTTATGCTACTATTTGGGTACTTTTTTAGATTTCAGTTACTAAAACTTAATATTTCTGTTTTTTTTTAGAATTTCCACTACTTTAGATTCGCTGATACTAGAAATCAAAAAACCATTCTCAAAAATTATAAACAAATTCTTTGAAACGAATCAATTATTTTAAAAAAATATTTGAAATTCAATTATTTTCAATATTTAGTATTTTCATCAAATTTCGCAAAAAAATTCAATTATTTAAAAAGAAAATTAATAACATTCATCCGAAATTCAATTATTTTCATAAATAATAAAATTTCCACAGGAACTCAATTAATTTAGAATAGCATTATCTAAAAGTTTCGTAAAAATAAATTATTTAACAAAATTTTTATACAATTCTTCACAATGATTCAATTATTTTAATAAATATTAATAAAATTCGTATGGAAAAAATTTAATTATTTTCAAAAATTTTAATAAAATTCTTCGCAAGTATTAAATTATTTTTAATGCAATTTTAATAAAATTCCTGGAAAGAAATTAAATATATATTACGATGTTATTTTGATTGGATTTGTAATTTTAGTGAGATCTTATTTTGTTTTAGAAAAATCCATTCATATAATTTTGTAATTATTATTAAGAAATCAGAAATTAAATATTTTCGAAAATTTTTTTTAAAATTCTTCGCAAGAATTCTATTATTTTCAGTACAATTTAAAAAAATATATATAATATTAATAAAATTCTTGAAAAAAATTCAATTATTTTCATAAAGTATTAGAATTTTTCGCAGAAATTCAATTATTTTCATAAATATATTGATAAAATTGTTTAAAAAAATCAATTATTTTAAATACAGTTTTAATTAAATTTTTTTTGAAATATTTTAATTATTCTTTTAAATTTTAATAAAATTCTTCCCAAGAATTTAATTATTTACATAAATGATTCATCGAAAGAATTCAATTATTTTAATAAATATACAAAATTATTCTCGAAAATTCAATTATTTTGAGGCGTTTTAATTAAATTCTTTGTAAAATTTAATTATTTCTAGAAACTTTTCGCAATTCAATGATTTTCAATATATCTATACCTACAATTTTTATAATATTTTCAAACAGAATTTAATTATTTAAAACATTTTTTATTTATTTATTTAGATATATATTTTTTTGTAAAAATCTTTTTAAGAATTTAATTCTTTTCATGAATAATTATTTCTATAAATATTTAAATTCTTTCATGAATAATAATATTCGTTGCAGGAATTCAATTTGTAAGCAGGATAAAAAAGAAGTAAATATTATTGATAAAAATATATCCAACGTATATTTAAAATTTTTTTTAGTAACTTTTAAGCCTTTTTAACGTTTCCAATCTAATGAAATATTTTATTTTATTTTCAAAAACGCTTTTCGAATTTTTTAAATTCAATAACCTTTGCTTAATTTCTGGAAACGCTAGGGCATTGGCCTTTTTTATATCAAGTTTATCAGTCCATAATCACTGTATGGTATTTTTCTAGATTGACGGAAATTTATTTACCTTGAATTGAAATTGCAAAATGAATAATTCTTAAATAAGTAATTTTTCATTTCTATTGTCTGGCAAAAACAATAATAGCCGATGAATACTATACAGCAACTCTATAACGTACGCACGTGTTTTTTTTTTGAAAAAGTACAGCTCTTTAAATAACAATAGTTATTTGAAATTCCGTTTTTCATTTTCTCATAATCAAATGACCTTAGGGAAAATCCAATTTACAATTTAAAAAATCGGCAGACAGATTTATTATGTAATCACTCTGACTGAGCTAGAATGCAAAGCGTCGCGTCGCGTCGATAAGAGAGAAATGCATAAAAATGATTCACGATAATTAATATCAATGAAGCAGGCGAGTTGAAATGATTGATAATATTGACACGATTGACACTGCGTCTTTAATTATTATATAAATCTTATCTCTCTCTTTCTCTCTCCGTCTCAGAGTAGGAAAATTATCGCAGTAGCAGAGTAAAAAAAATCCAAGACTTTCTCATTTTTTATGAGAATGTAAAAAAGAAACTCACTTTTTATCATTCTCGTTGTCTCCGCCGATATTAATAGTGTACGTATAATTATTCAGTTGCTTGGAAACATTAAGGGCAGTTTCGAGCAGTGGAGGCACTGTCATGATGCAGCGGACACCGGCATTTTTGAACTGTCGGGCCACTTCCTCGGCGGTGTACAGGGGATTGACGAATGTCACAATTAACCCTGCCTTCAGACTCCCGTGGACGGATATTAAGTACTCGGGTATGTTTGGCAGAAGCAGTCCAACCTTCTCACCCGGCTTCAAGCCAACCTTCTCCAGAAGCGCTTGGGCTGTTTGGTGGCTTAGCTTCTTCGCTAAATTGTACGTGTACGTTCTTCCAGTGAGACCACATGTCTAGATAAGAAAATTCATTATGTTATTATTATATCGCAAAGTTCAATCGAGACGTTTTTTCCATCCCAGGTCAATATCAATCATTTTTTATCTTTATCATACTATGGAATGTGAAATTCAGATTATTTAACAATTCTAAATCAGTTCCTCAATGAAAGCTCACTTATACAATCATTATTATATCATTTGTATATCGATTTGCTGTTTTAAAACTTTAAGGGCACCTTTAATTTTTATATAATATTTTTACTCTCGATGCAGTCTTTTTTATAAGTTTGAAGTGGCTTTTTATCAAATTTATAAAATAAGTTTATTCTATAATAATTTATTTCCAGCTTACAAAGTTATAATTGTTCAATTCGCATTTAAGGTAAAGGTCCCAATTATGGAACGCTTTTTAAGCTAACTAAAATTCTATGATAAATTTCTTGGAATTAGGAGTGTTAATATGAATAATTAGGGTATAAATTGAAAGGTTGGCCTAAAATGCCCTAAAATGTTTGTTTTTCATGAAATAAAAATAATATTAATTAAATTGTGATCCCTTAGTACCCATTTATATGAAACGGTAGTTTCCAGTATACGGGACGGGTGTTTCAAATTGAATGTTCCGATTATAATTTAATGCACTTATTTGATTTAATAAGTAGTTAAAATTGCATTGACTTATCTCAATAATATTTAAATATAAACTATAAAGCATCAAATATACGAAGAACAAATTCTAGCTAAGTAGATAATTATCTATAAAACCAATTTTTCTGGTAGAAAAGTAATGCGAAAATACTGAAAATATTTGAGGTTGTGTTTGTTGTATATTTATTTATTTAATTTTTGTAATACTGTTCCATAATAGGGACTAAATTATAAAAACATTCTATAACTGGGACTTTTACCTTATTATTACAAGAGTAAAATTTTTTATCCAAATTTTAGATAATAAGATATTTGCAAAACCTAAAATGCGTATAGGGTCAGGGTCAGTTAAAGGGGTTAAAGACATGTTCAAGTTGTGAAATGTAAACAAACCAAACACTAAAATCGTAATTTTTTGACAGTTCTCATTTACATAAAAATGAACCTTCTTGCACTTTCTTTACGAAAATCGTTAATTAGAGTGTCAAAGTTATTGTCAAACTATATCATATTTGACTATTATGCTATTAGCATTAAAAAGTAATTATTAAAATAATAAAATAAAATGACTAAAATAGCACTTTTGACGCGTCGCAAAAATTAAACCGTTGTGTATATCAGACGCACGAACCCTGAGAAAGACCCAGAGAGAGAGAGAGAGAGATTGGGAAATCACAGAATCACACGGGGAAAAAGGTAAAATTTCCCTTTCCTATAAGGGAGCATTTACACCTTCGGTAAAAATTTCCCGAACGAAAAATTTTTCATTGGAGTAAGAGAGACAGACTGTGTATCTAACTCTCTTACTCCAATGCAAATTTTCCTTTCTGGACAATTTTTACAGAAGGTGTAAACGCTCCATAATATGTGTGACTGTTCTATCGCTGACTGCACGGAAAAAATTTCGGGCGCGCAGCATTACCTACGCGTACGATTGCAGTGCTAAATGAAAGAACGCCGATGTTCTAAGAGTGAGATATCTGCGTTCTCATCAGGGTTGCGCAGTTACGCGTAACTCGAGGTTTTCTACGTATGTTACATGTATGTTACATGAAGTAACATACGTATGTTACCCCCCACTCTCGAAAAATACATGGATGTAACAATGTAAGGACGTAACGTACTAGGTAACATACAGTAACAAACCCATGTAACATACATGAAGTATGTTACGTACCCATCCCTGGTTCTCATTGTGGGAGCTGCGAGGAGTCCCACAGAGATAAAGTGGAACTACCAAAGGCAGAGCCCAGAGCCCTCTGCATGTGGTGTAGAACAGCTTTTCTGTATACGTAATATATATACTTGTCTAAAGTATATTCTTTCTCAGCTGTGGGACTCTGAGGCTCCCACTCGTGAGAGCGATTAGTTCCCACTCTTGTTCTCCTTATGCACCAGGGATAAGGTAGAACAGCATTACCATAGGTAATACGGATGCGCGCCCGAAATTTTTTCCGTGTGGAACTTTCTCATGATGCGTGCCGTTGATAACAGTTAAATTTTTTTTGTTCGTTAAACTTTGACACTCTAATTAACGATTTTCGTAAAGAAAGTGTAAAAATTTTAATTTTTATGGAAATAGGGGTAGTAAAAAAATTGCGATTTCAGTGTTTGGTTTGTTTACATTTCACAAGTTGGACATATGCATTACATCTAAAATAATTAATAAAAACTGATTTTGGTGTCCTTGGGGGACACGGGGGACACATAAGTCTTTAAACCTTATTCATTAAGTTCAAGTATATATGTTTCTTTCACGTACTTAAAATTTTTCAAATGGACATAATAATTAAAAATATACAAAAAATTTTGTAACTTTGAAGAATTATATTTTTTCTCAACATAATAATAGGTACTTTGTTAATATTGTAGAAAAGTTAGAATAATAAACTATTAAAAGTTATCCCTCAAGTTTTAACGCTTTCGTGACATATAAGAATTATTGGAATTTATTTTAAAGTATACAAAAAAACTTACATAGATATATTATTAACGTCTCGTGAATTTCCTTTAAAAAAAATAACTTATCGCGAAGATATTGCAAAAATATATATCAATTACGGTCAACCATAATTTATTAGTAAGAAAATGAAGTATGAAGTTGTTGATTTATGTATAGTTGAAAAAGTAGAATTAATTTTTTATTATTTACAGTGTCTTGTAAAGTTATGCGTTACAGGTTTGAGTCAATAATTGCCATTATTTTACACCCCCACATGCAACCACCAGCTAAAAATTAAATTGTTTGTCTAAAAAATAAAGATTAAATTGCTTTTGTTTTATCAGATTTAATAATTTAATAATATTATTTAATTATGTTCTCATGATTATTTTTTTAATTTTTAAACATAATTATTTTAATAATAATTTAATCGAATTCCTCGAGAAAAATGTTATTATTCTTCAAAAGTTTTATTGAAATTCGTCAAAAGAATTAAATTATTTAAAAATTTGTTGATAAAATTCTTTATGAGAATTGCGAGAATTCAATTTTAAGAAACATTTAGTTATACAAGTAAAATAAATTATTTTTTATTTCAATAAATAATTGAATCCTAGTAGAATTTTCTAATAAAAATTGATTTAAAAATGAATTTCATGTAAAACTTTTGTTAATAATTGAATATTAAAAGCATTATATCGTGAATTTTTAAAAATAATTGAATTTTGAAAAGGTTTCAAATTAAAATCTTTGAAAATCTTAATTTTTCAAATTTTTAACTGACAATTCTGTAGAATTAATTTTTTTTTGAAAGTATAGGTATATTTGTGGTTTTTATTTTCTAATATATATTTAATTTAAGAATTTCCGAAATATTGAAATTTTTTAAAATTGTATTGTTAACAAATAAATTTCAAAAATTTGAAAGAACTTTTTTTAAAAAATTATTTAAAATAATGGATTTACAGAAAAATTTTAGTTAAAAATACTAAAAAAACAATTAATTTTGGAGAAGTTACAAATTAAGGCAGAAATTCAATTATTTTCAAGAGTAATAAAATTCTTCGTAGAAATTTAATTATATTCAAAAATTATAAAATTTTTCTTATGGATTCAATTATTTTCCCAAATAATAAAACACATCGCAAAATTTCAATTATTTTTAATACAATTTTAATCGACTTTCTCGAAAAAGGTAATTATTCTTAAAAATTTTATTAAAAATCTTCCAAAGAATTTAATTATTTAAAAATTTATTGATAAAATTCTTTATGAGAATTGAATTTTAAGAAACATTCAGTTATTCAGTAAATTATTTATTTGCATTTTATTTGTATTTAAATAATTGAATTTTCGTATAATTTTCTTATAAAAATTGATTTAAAAATGAATTGCAGTTAAAGTTTTAGATAATAATTGAATATTAAAAGCGTGATTTTTTAGAAATAATTAAATTTTGAAATAATTAATTTTTTTGAAAAAGTTTAATTGAATTTTCTTTTATATTATTTCAAGTTTTTATTTTCTAATATGCATTTAATTAACGAATTTACGAATAATTGAAATTTCGTAAAATTGAATATTGTAAACAAATGGATTTGAAAATTGTCAAAAAACTTTTTCAAAAAATTATTAAAAATATTTTTAGAAAAAAAAATGTTAAGAAAAATGTTAGTAAAAAATTTTGGAAAATAATAATTCTTCATGTTTTATATAGTTATATAAACAAATTTAATTTATAGTTTTAAGTAAAATGTTTTTTTACTTCACTCGGACTGGTTATATTTTTGTCAGTAATTGGTCCGAAAAGTTCGTATTTTTAAATACTTTCACTGGTTCGAGTCCTGATATTATAATTTTGTAAAGATTTATATTCTTCGTAATTGTTATACTTTTGATTGCAAAAAGATTATTTTATTTTGTAGTTCTGTTATTGGTTGGATTTAATATAAACAAAAAAAAATTTTTATTAATTTTTTTTTCTTTATTATTATTATTATTATTATTATTATTATTATTATTATTATTATTATTATTATTATTATTATTATTATTGCAATGTTATTAAAACATCAGCAAAGCAAAATCGAATAAAGTAACTTTTAGGTACTATTTAAAAATTCAATTTTTTGTATTTCCAAAATTCGTAAACAATTTTTTTTACTTCACAGTAAAACTTTAATGTGATGGGATTTTTTCATTGATTAATTACGTTATTTTTTGGTTTTTCCTGAAAATTGTCATCAATAGTGAATTAAATTTTATTATGATATTACAGTAAACATCAACTTTATTGAGTAAACAGAAATTTAATTACTTAACCGTCAATATAAAGGAATTAAATTTCTAATTAACGGAAAACACTGATGACATTTTTAATGTACTCACAAATAATTGTATAAGATAGAAATTTTTTTTAAAAACTCAAAGAAAGTCAAACGATTTTCAAATTATAAAATTATAGATATTTAAATATAAATAACGATTATAACTTAACAAACAAACTTTAAAGTTTTTATTCGTTCTTACTTTTTTAGTTTTTAATTTAATAAAATAATAAAAATTTATTGTCAATTTAGTTTAATTTGTAATGTTTGAAATGTATTTAATGTTATATTTATTATCGCAAACATAATAATATTGAGAGTGTGCCTTTGAACTTTGGACCAATGGAATTTCGAATCCTTGAAATTCACTTTCATTTCGGAACGGAAGCAGAATTGGTTTCATTCAAAATATATTGAAATATAAACAACAACAAAAATGAAAAAAAGGAAATAGGGCTAAAAAATAAAATCACCCAGAAAATAAGCTTAATTTAAAGTAGGTGGAAATAATAGAAAATAATAAAATTAATTACCAGGGAAGGTTTATTCTCCCATTCCGTCGACTTGGAGAAAACAAAATCAGTGAAAGATTGATCCGGAATTTGTATTTGTCCAAGCGGGCTTTTCAAGACGGCCGAACTGTATTTCTTCAAGCATTGTTTTTTAAATTGATTGGTCAATTGAACATTACGCGTTACGATTGTACGAAGTAAAGACATAGCCGGCGAAAATTACCTTGTTTTAAATAAGTAATGAAATTAACTTAAATAATTTAAAGTTAAGAAAAGAAAAAATAAAGAAAAAAAGAAGGGAAAGAAGGAGACAACTATTTTTTCACTCACTTATTAAGTACACAGAAAAAGTTTCGTCTAAAGAAATGTTTTTTATTTTTACCTCATCCAAAAAGAGAAAAAAAAAGAAGAAAAACTATCGCACTTACACGTATATACAATTATAAATTTGCGTCTGTATTCCTCAACGAATTCGAACACACTGGTGAAGCGCTGCAACTCGTAGTATCTCATAAACATGCACACATGTAGTATAATCTACATTAAATACTTGTGTGGGAAATAACAAATTGCACGCACCGGACTTGAGAGAGTTTTGTCAGTGTGCTATCGGAAAGATCTTAACTCGCGTAATAATCTCAATCAAAGTCCAAAGTTTAGCGCAAAACCGTTACGTAGAAACTTGATTTCCCGCTCGCAGAAAGCACTTGAGATTTTCAAAAGGGGATCAAAGAGAGAGAGAGAGAGCGAGCGAGCGAGAGAGAAAGTGAGCAAGAGACAATGATTCTACACCCGAATAGTAAATTCACAACAAGTGAATTTTTACTTTAAATTAATTGTCGTCGATTAATTTAGAAACCCGAATAAATACAATTTTTCTTTTTTTCCCCAAAGGCACGTTGAGCGCCTGAATGAATTCGCGTTCAAAATGCAAATAAAACAAGTTCCACGCTCCTCGATTTGAGAATCACTTTGCATTGCTAGAGGGGGAAAGTTCATAAGTAGTCGATGCGATGTCACTGACTTTTACGAGATCCCCTCGCCGCCTTCTTTACATTTTTTTTCTTTTTCAATTCCAAATACCAATGGACATAATTGCAATTGAAATTATTACAACTTATTGCGACTCCGCCCCCCTCCCCCTACGAACAGAGGTTCACATATTTGAATTTCTCTCGTTGCTCCAAAAAGAAGAAGGAAGGGAAAAAGGAAAAAAAAATTTTTTGCAAACGTAGGCGGACCGGTTGTGCGTCAGAGGGCAAAGTCCAGTTTTATACAGCAGCAGCAGTAGAACATAAATTCAGTTGGCTCTTTATCTTCTTCGCTCGCGAGCCTCCCAGACAAATGATGCGAAAAACATGAGGCAACTAACTAAATGTCTGATGCTTGATCAATTTTTTGAAAAATCCTTCCTCGAGTGCTATCAGTTCGTTGTACGTTCCAGTTTCGATGATACGACCTTGATCTAAGACGGCTATCTGGTCAGCGTTTTTAATTGTACTGAGCCTGTGTGCTATCGTCAACACTGTTCTGCCTCGGGATGCTCGCTCCACAGCCTCTTGCACCAAATGTTCACTTTCCGCGTCTAAGGCACTTGTCGCCTCGTCCAGTATCAAAATCCGAGGATTCTAAAAAATTCAAATTCAAAAAATTAATAAAAATTATAATAATTTTCATTTCATAAATTCATAGTGTTATTTTTCAAAATAATTGTGAAAAAGAAAGAATCTGGGTTGACACAGGTCAGGGAAATCAGGAAATTAAAAATATTGAGGAAAAAATTAATTTTTTAGATTTTATAAGAAAATTCTGAATTTTGGTCTTTTCTTATTTGCTTTCTAAAACTATGAAGTTCTGATAATAATTTTTTTTTTAATAACTTAATTCTTGAAGAAATTCTTGAACTATCATAAAGTTATTACCTATAAATTATTTAATGAACTATCAAATGTTATGCGCGCTAGAGCGTGGAACGTGATATTCAATTTATTATTATTATGCAAATTACAAAATTTTTTATTTTCAAATTTATGAATTTTTGAATAATTTCAGATTCAAATTTTAAATTGAAATTCTTTGTAAGAATTCAATTTCATTTTCATAAATAATAACATTCTTCGTGAGAATTCAATTATTTTTTTTAATAGTAAAATGTTTTGCAAAAATTCAATTAGTTTTTTAAGTATAGTATAAAAAACTTGGCAAAAATTTAATTATTTTCAAAGAAATTTCACGAAAGAATTCAATTTCTTTTCTTTCGTTTATAAAATATTTTTAAAATATTCAAAATTATGTAAAATTTTAATAAATTAATCGAAAAAATTCAATTACAATTATAAATAGTAAAATTGTTAGCGAAAATTCAATTATTTTTAATAAAAATTTAGTAAAATTTCATGAAAAAAATCAATTATTTTCTAAAATTGTAATAAATTCATCGAAACAAATCAATTTTATTTTAAATACCTAGTAAAATTATTTGCAAAAATTCAATTATATTCGAAACAATTTCACGAAAGAAATCAATTTTTTTCTTAATTTGTTATAAAAAATTTCAATGAATTCAATTATTTTCTAAAATTTTAATAAATTCTTTGAAAAAATTCAATTATATTTATAAATAATAAAATTTTTTTTACAAACAATTATTTTATAAAAATTCAATAATTAAATGTTTAATTTCAATTATTAACAAACGCGATTATTTTAAAAACTTGCGATAGAAATTGTCATAAAATTCAATTATTTTCAAAATTTTTTGATTAAAATTATTAAAGAAACTTCATTATTTAAAAAAAATTAAAAGAAATTCTTCAAAAAGAATTTAATTAGATTTTTCACTAATTCAATTCAATGATTTTTAATATCTACTATTTTAATAAAAATTTTCCAAAAGAATCCAATTGTTTAAAAAAAAAATTTTTTTAATTCTCCGCAAACATGTAATTATTTTTATAAATAATACAAATGTCACGGGAATTCAATTATTTTCAAGAGTAATAAAATTCTTCTTAGGGATTCAGTAATTAATTTCATAAATAATAAAACTTATCGCAGAATTTCAATTATTTTAAATCCAAATTTAATCAAATTCCTCGAAAACTGTAATTATTTTTAAAAATTGTATTATAATTCGTCACAAGAATTTTAATTATTTAAAAATTTGTTGATGAAATTCTTTATGAGAATTCAATTTTAAGAAACATTCAGTTATTCAATAAATTATTTTTTTTCGTTTTTAAATAATTTAATTCTAGGATAGAATTTTCTAATAGAAATGGATTTAAAAATGAATGTCAGTTACAATTTTCAAATTATAATGGAATATTAAAAGCATTTTTACATGTTTTCTAGAAATAATTGAATTTTGAAAAGGTTTCAATTTAAAATATTTGAAAATCTAAATTTTGAATACTTTTTAGTTAACAATTCTGTACAACTAATTTTTGTGCAAAATTTTAAATCCAATTTTTTTTTAAATTATTTAAATTTTTCATGCAAATTACAAAATTTTTTATTTTCAAACATCAACTTCAATCAAATTTGTCAAAAAAATTCAATTATTTTCAAAAATTTTAATAAAAATCTTTACACAAATTTGATTATTTTTATAAACAGACAAATTCTTTCTTATAATTTAAATTATTTTAATTGCAATTTTAATAAAATTCTATAGAAAAATTGAATTATTTTAAAATACAATTTTAATTAAATTTGTCGAAAAAATTTGTGAGAAGTTAATTATTTTTTTAAATAATATAAACATCTTCGTGTGAATTCAATTACCTACAATATAATTTCTTAAAGCAAATTAACTTGTTTTAATTTTTAAGGAATTCATCGCAAAAATTAATTATTTTCATAAATAAAAAAATTCTTTAGACGAATTTTCAATTATTTTAAGAAATTTTTATAAAATTTTTTATAATTATTCAATTTATTATTGTTTATATAATTATAATTGAATTCCACAAAAGAATTTAATTATCTATGAGAATTTACACAATAATTTACATAATTCTTTAAAATAATTCAATTTTTTCCAAAAATTTTAATTCAAATTCAAAATTAGAAAAAGTTACAAAAATTACAAAAAGTAATGTAAAAAATTCAAAAGTTTTCAAATTGAAGTTTTAGAGAATTCGAATTTTAATAAATTTTAATTACAAATTCTGAAGAAGATTGTTGTTTGAAAATTTTCTATAACAATTTTTTTTAAATTAATTGAATTTTTAGATTACGTTATTGAAATTACATTATTTAATTCAAAAATTGTTGAATTCTTAAAGTTTCATGAAATTTTGTCAAATTAATGGAACCGCAATGAAATTCGGGTGTTAATTTATTTCCCCCCCTTAATTATTGAAAAAAAACAATTATAAATGAAAAAGGAGAAAATTTTTGACGGAAAAATACAACTCCTGTCATAATTTGAAACTATCAACTAATAATAGAATAAATTATGATTCTAATTCCATGTTTAATGTAAAGTTAGCAAACAGGTTACAAGATGATATAGACTTCTTCTGTGGCAGTATAAATAGTTTCATTACGAATGAACGAAGAATTATTTATGTAGCAAACAATAGTGCAGCCTAGTTTTATTAGCCATATTATATGTATATTACGATTCTTATGCAATTTTTTTCTCTTTTTTATTCAACAGGTCATAACAATCAATTTTTTTTAACCGCTTCTATTACTAAAAGAATAAACATTTACAGTATGTTTTCATCACTTTCTTAAAAGTGGATGAAAAAATTTTTTAAATTAAAAAATAATTAAACAAAATTCAACAATTAAAAAAATTTAAACAATTAAAAAAAAATCAAACAATTAAAAAAATTAAACAATAAAAAAATTTTTTAATTTAAAAATTAAAAAAATATAAACAATTTTTAAACGTGGATTTTGAAAAAGTCCTTAAAAAACAAAAACAAATTTCTAAACAATGAAACGTAATTCTAAAATTATCAAAAACACCTTAAAAAAATTCAAATACTTAAATTCGCAAAAATAATCTAAGACAAAATTTGACGACTTATAATGTAAATTTTTAATGCGAATAAAATTTCACTATTAAAGAATTACAATTATTGAATCAATATATTCATCTCAAGGAAACTGAATAACATAAAAATGTACAAAGAATAATTTTAGAGTAAATTAATAAATCAACCATTGCACTTGGACTAATACAAGTGAAAGAGTATTTTTCAGAATAATTACAATAAATAAAAATGAAATGTAAAATAAAATAAGAAGTTACGGATAAATCGATTATAAGAAATAAGTTTTAAATAGTGAGAGTAATTTCTCCAGAGCTATTTTTTACCCTTGAAGACAAATAATATTATTTTTAGAACAAATATGATAAACAACATTATACTAATTAAAACAAAGAAGATAAACTGAAAATGCTAAAAAAACATGATTACTGAACTAGTTGCAATATAGATAATTCAATAATGATAATTGTAGTATTAATATAGTAATAATAACAATGATAATGATAATAATATTCAAAATAATAATAACAACAATAAAAATAATGAGAATTACCAATGAGAAAGAGAAATTATGCAAAATTTTTTACATTTAAAAAAAATTAATTTTATTTGTAACAAAAATTGTAACTGACAAATCAAAATTATATAATTTTTTTTCATTTTTATTCTATACTCATTGAAATTTTCAGATTTTTTTTTCATTAGATATTTATAAAAAACATTACAAAATTATTAAGAAATGGAAAATATTTCGCATATTTTCTGTTTCTCAATAACAAAATTATAAGTTTCTTTAAAAAAAAAATTTGCAATTCAATTTCTTATTCACAATTTTTGTAGAAAATTCAGTTTTTTTAAAGAAATAATTTGTACCATTTCTATTTCGACATTTGCAATTTTTTTAAACAAAATTCCTAGTTTTTTTTTGGAAATAAAGAAAAAAAAATTTTATTATCAATTTGACAATCGCAATTTTTAATTTGAAAATAAAACTGAAATTTTTAAAAGATGTTTTTTATAAAATTTGTACCATTTTTATTTTTCAATTACCATTTTTTAGATAAAATTCCAAGTTTTTTCAAGAAACAAAAGGAAAAAATTGTTTATAAATTCAATTTGTCAGCATAACTTTTAAATAAAAATAAAACTAAGAATTTTTTAAAAGATTTGTATATAAAATAAAGGAAATGAATTCGATTTGTTAATCACAATTTTTTTGATATCCGGACAAGAAGTCCAAAACAAAAAAAAAATGGATTTCATTTAAATCCCAAAAAAAAATAAAAATAGTTTCACTTTGGACATTTTTATTTTGGATTTTTTGTACTTTGGACTTTTTTTCTTGGATTTTTCGGTCCTGATTTTTTGTTCCTGTAATCAAATTTTTTAGTTTCTTTTGTAAAAAAATTTCCATAATTTCTGTTTTAATCACAATTTTTATACAAAATCCTGTTATTTAAAAAAAAAGGAATAAATTTTAAATAATTTTTATTTCTTCATCATATTTTTTTCACAAAACTTAGACAAAATTAAAAATTGATTCTCCATAATTAAAAATCTTAAATATTTAAACAACAAAATTTTTAAATTTGCATAATTTCTATTTTTAATCTTGATTT